GTAGAGCAGGGAGCACACGGTGCCCATGGTCAGCGGCCAGCGGTGCTGCCGGCACGTCACCAACACACAGCAGCCCCCCAGCAGCTCCTTCTTCTCCAGGCTGACCAGGTGGAAGGCAGGGAGCTGCAGAGCCCTCTGGAAGTAGGACACAGCCGTCTCCTCGAACGTGGCTGGCAGCTGCAGCACCTTGCAGAGGTCCTGGACTCGCCGGATCCCTGCGGGGAGAGAGGAGATTCTGCTCAGAAGCGTTTGCAGCAGGATGAACTGCTGCTAGCAGGATGCAAAAAGGACTCTTGCATGGAATCCACAGACGTTTTATTCAACCCTGCCCTGAGATGTTCAGCACTCACACACACAGAGTCTCACTTTCTCCCTTCAGGGGCCTGGGGGCTGACCCTGGTCTCAGGGCAGTACAAAGGTGAGGGCAAATCAGGGAATAGGGAAGGAGTGGCTCAGGGACATAGGAACAGACATAGGAACAGGGGAGGGAGCCAGTGGGGTCTGACAGCTTTTTGAGGCACGCTTCTTGTGTCTCCCCAGACCAGGGAATGCCCCCCAGGGTCTCCACAATTCCCTGTTTTTTATAATGTTAAGCTTCTCTGAAGGATCAACTGAATCAACACGAAATGACAAAAACAGTTGGCGCTCACCCAGCCCTGCACCCTCCCAGCTTGTGTCTCCCCAGACCAGGGAATGCCCCCCAGGGTCTCCACAATTCCCTGTTTTTTATAATGTTAAGCTTCTCTGAAGGATCAACTGAATCAACACGAAATGACAAAAACAGTTGGCGCTCACCCAGCCCTGCACCCTCCCAGTCCCTGGGGGCAGGCAGGCACCGGCTGGATGCAGCACCAGGTGCCCTCTCCCGGCTCAGCTCCAGGGGTTTTGGGCACTTTGTCACCACCAGAACCAGGTGAAACAAACGGGAGAGGCAGGCAGGGACGATGGGGTGCTCTCACCTCGCTGCAGGCAGCGGCTCAGCTGCTCCTTCTGGCCAGTGCTCTGGGAATAGGCGACCTCTGGAAAACAGGGAGGACCAGTCAGTCCTGCAGGGAATCCGGGCACACAGACACTGGGATCTGGGGCCAGCAGATGCCCACAGAACCGGGCTGCAGCAAGCAGAACTGTTTGAGGGTGCTGAGTTAGAGCAGCACAGGTAAAAGCGAGCTCTTGGATCTCCTCTGAGCCGGGGATTCCCTCCAGACAGAGCCGGGGATTCCCTCCAGACAGAGCCGGGGATTCCCTCCAGACAGAGCCAAGGATTCCCTCCAGACAGAGCCGGGGATTCCCTCCAGACAGAGCCGGGGATTCCCTCCAGACAGAGCCGGGGATTCCCTCCAGACAGAGCCGGGGATTCCCTCCAGACAGAGCCGGGGATTCCCTCCAGACAGAGCCGGGGATTCCCTCCAGACAGAGCCGGGGATTCCCTCCAGACAGAGCCGGGGATTCCCTCCAGACAGAGCCAGGCAACGGCCTCGGGCTGCTCCGCTGCACTTAAAGCTCTTCTAAGAGATTTCAATGAGGTTTTAATCACCACTTTTAACAATAAGAGATTCCCCCAGTTTAAATTTAAAGCTCATCACCGGCTCCAAGCCAAACCCTGACCGGGAAGTGCTGCGGGTGTGCCCCGGGATGGAAAACAAACCTGTCATGGTCGTGTTTTCTGGGAAAATCCCTTCGCCAGGATTTCTCTCCTGGGAAGCTGAGAAGCCTCAGAAAAAAAGGGAAATATTATCTCATTTGCTTCTCCTGTGTTTTGCTGCTTTGGAATGTGTTTGGAGATTGTTTACCCACAGGTGATTGTTTGCTTGGTTTCGTGTGAATTGTTTTCACTCACTGGCCAATGACGGCCAAGCTGTGTCAGACTCTGAACAGAGTCACAAGTTTTCATTATTATCTCTTTAGCCTCCTATCTGCATCCTTTCTGTATTCTTTATACAGTTTAGTACAGCATTCTTTAATATAATCTAGATCATAAAATACTAAATTAGCCTTCTGAGAACAAGGAGTCAGACTCATCATTCCTCACTTCATCTGGGAACCCAGCAAACACCAGACACACCCTGCTCCTGCCATGGCTGCTGCTCGTGGGCACCAGGAGGAGTTTCTTTATGGAAAGGGTTCCCAGGCACTGGAATTGCTGCCAGGAAGGGGGTGGAGTCCCCATCCCTGGAGGTGGCACTCAGTGCTCCAGGCTGGGTGCCAAGGTGGGCATTGGGCACAGCTTGGACTCGACGGCCTCAGAGATCTTTTCCAGCCTCAGAGATCTGGGATCCTGTGATCCATGGTGCCTCCCTGAGCACCTCTCTGCCCTCTCCAAACTGACAGTGGGGCAGGATGAGAATCACAGCCCAGCTGTGACAAGGGAGGGACAAAAGCCAGCCCATCCCAAGCACGCACACCTGTGTCACCCCCCCGCCCCTCCACCAGCCAGGACAAACACGGGCTGCCAGGGACTGCCAGGGCCCCATCACCTGCTCAGGTGTGTTGTCACCAGGTCTGCCAGGCTCAGGGCGGGCACTGAGAGCCCCAGCTCCTTCTGCAGGCTCAGGAAGACGCTGGCAAACAGCTCGTGCTTGGCGTAGAGCAGGGAGCACACGGTGCCCATGGTCAGCGGCCAGCGGTGCTGCCGGCACGTCACCAACACACAGCAGCCCCCCAGCAGCTCCTTCTTCTCCAGGCTGACCAGGTGGAAGGCAGGGAGCTGCAGAGCCCTCTGGAAGTAGGACACAGCCGTCTCCTCGAACGTGGCTGGCAGCTGCAGCACCTTGCAGAGGTCCTGGACTCGCCGGATCCCTGCGGGGAGAGAGGAGATTCTGCTCAGAAGCGTTTGCAGCAGGATGAACTGCTGCTAGCAGGATGCAAAAAGGACTCTTGCATGGAATCCACAGACGTTTTATTCAACCCTGCCCTGAGATGTTCAGCACTCACACACACAGAGTCTCACTTTCTCCCTTCAGGGGCCTGGGGGCTGACCCTGGTCTCAGGGCAGTACAAAGGTGAGGGCAAATCAGGGAATAGGGAAGGAGTGGCTCAGGGACATAGGAACAGACATAGGAACAGGGGAGGGAGCCAGTGGGGTCTGACAGCTTTTTGAGGCACGCTTCTTGTGTCTCCCCAGACCAGGGAATGCCCCCCAGGGTCTCCACAATTCCCTGGTTTTTATAATGTTAAGCTTCTCTGAAGGATCAACGGAATCAAAATGAGAAAAACAGTCAGCGCTCACCCAGCCCTGCACCCTCCCAGTCCCTGGGGGCAGGCAGGCACCGGCTGGATGCAGCACCAGGTGCCCTCTCCCGGCTCAGCTCCAGGGGTTTTGGGCACTTTGTCACCACCAGAACCAGGTGAAACAAACGGGAGAGGCAGGCAGGGACGATGGGGTGCTCTCACCTCGCTGCAGGCAGCGGCTCAGCTGCTCCTTCTGGCCAGTGCTCTGGGAATAGGCGACCTCTGGAAAACAGGGAGGACCAGTCAGTCCTGCAGGGAATCCGGGCACACAGACACTGGGATCTGGGGCCAGCAGATGCCCACAGAACCGGGCTGCAGCAAGCAGAACTGTTTGAGGGTGCTGAGTTAGAGCAGCACAGGTAAAAGCGAGCTCTTGGATCTCCTCTGAGCCGGGGATTCCCTCCAGACAGAGCCAAGGATTCCCTCCAGACAGAGCCGGGGATTCCCTCCAGACAGAGCCGGGGATTCCCTCCAGACAGAGCCGGGGATTCCCTCCAGACAGAGCCGGGGATTCCCTCCAGACAGAGCCAGGCAACGGCCTCGGGCTGCTCCGCTGCACTTAAAGCTCTTCTAAGAGATTTCAATGAGGTTTTAATCACCACTTTTAACAATAAGAGATTCCCCCAGTTTAAATTTAAAGCTCATCACCGGCTCCAAGCCAAACCCTGACCGGGAAGTGCTGCGGGTGTGCCCCGGGGGGATGGAGACGGGGGAGCGGCCGGTCCGAGCGGACAGTGCCGGCACGGCCCCGCGGCCACTCCGAGACACAGCTCGGGGAGCGCTTCGCTTCTCGGGCCGGCTCGGACAGGCCCAAACGAGCTGCGGACCGCCGGTCCTGCACCCCCCACCCCAAGCGCGGACGCTCCCGGTTCCGGTGCCGCACCCCGCAGATGCTCCTCGTCGGTGTAGGTGGTGGTGAGGAGCCCCTCGGACAGGACGCAGCCGCAGGCGGCACAGACCAGCTGCTGCTGCGCGTAGTGCGCGTCCTCCACCAGCGACCCCGACCCGCACTCGGGGCACCGGCCCCGCGCCGCCATCGCCGCCGCCGCGCTGGGGGAGCGCCGGGGCGGGCGCACCGCCAACAGCCAATAGCGGCGCCGCCCGCCCCGAGCCCACCAATAGCGGCGCTGCCCGCGGTCCGCCCCGACTCCCGCCCGGCCGCGCCGCCGCCCCTGCACGCCGCGTTCCGCCCCCGCCAGTTCCGCGGGGATGCCCCGGGGAGGCGGCGGCCCCGGGAGCGCGGGGGGAGCGGGACCGAGGGGACAAGCCGCAAAACACCCCGGCCGGAGGCCCTGATGGCCTCCTCCTCCTGCCATCCCCGCGGCAGCGAGGCCAGCGCTGCCATGAGGGCCCAGAGTCCCTCCCGGTGCGTGCCGGTGCTCACAGGAACTGCCGGGTCCGCAGGGGCGGCCCAGCCCGCCCGGCAGGTTTCCCCACCCCGCGAGGTGTTCAGCAGGAAGCTCCCGGCAGGGATGGAACCTGCCCGGAATGCCCGGAGGAGGATGAGGACGAGCAGAGAGGCACAAGGAGGGGACGAGCCCCTTCTGAAACTGCTCCTTCAGAACAAAGGCATGGCAGTCAGAAAACTGGGTTTACGGTGTCTTTATTTGATAATTTATCATCCTCTTTATCTTAACTTTATGTTCTTTACCTTATCGTCCCCTGGAGGAGGATGAGGATGAGCAGAGAGGCACAAAGAGGGGACGAGCCCCTTCTGAAACTGCTCCTTCAGAACAAAGACACGGCAGTCAGAAAACTGGGTTTGAGGTGTCTTTATTTTAGTGTTCCATAAAACCAAAAGGTGTTTAAAAACAAACAGTACCTGGGCTAAAAGCAGAGTACAAACATGCATTAGGTCCTTCAATAATAAACAAGAGATTTGATTCTTAAGGCCCTCGAGGATGTAAAATGCCAGTCCCCTCACACCAAAGGAAGGCTTTAATGAGTGTTGCCAATTAAAACAAGGTGTGAGGGCTGGGCCAGGCTTTTGGGGAAGGAGCCCTGCTCAGCTCGGGCTCACCCCAACACACCTGGCTGGAACTGGCTCAGAAAGGCTGCCAGAGGCTGGCCCAAGTGTTAAGGCTTCATCTCTGCTAAGAGCAGAACATTATTTAGTTTAGGAATAATAATAATATTATTTATTGCTTTGGTTCTGTGCAGGTCACTCTTCCCCAGAGGAGAAAAAGTCTAAAATACAAGTTTATCAGTGAGGTACAGGATCCTGTGTGCAGAGATCCACGGAGGCACGAGGAGGAAACAAATCAATCCTTCATCTTCCTCACTCGAGAAGGCACAGGAGGCAGCAGCAGCTGCAGCAAGGCTGAGCAGCACCCCTCAGAATGAAACCAGCACCGAGGCTGCCTTCACTCAGAGCAGAGGGCAGAGAACACCCCCACTGCCCAAATAACACTAAAATGAGATAAAAGGACCCAAAGTCTTGCAAGACTCTCAGCTCCTAATGCTTGTTTGAGGTCAGGCTGCCCATGAGGGACAGCTCTGCCACTGAAGCTCCAGACTTTGGTAGCAGGAATAAACAGGAAGAAAAAGGTCATTAACAGCATTTCTTTGATTTTTTTTTGTAATAAATGTTTACATCTCTGTGCAAATCTATCAAACTGTTCCTCGCTACAAAATGCAGCATTTGAGATCTCCAGTGGTTTGTGACAATGTCAGCAGACTGCTCACAGGGTGAGAGTCATCCAGCTGCTCCAGCCCCCCAAATAAAGTGCTTTCCTGTAGAAAAATTGAGTTAGAAACTCACCCCTGGGCCAGGAGTGACCCAAAAACCCAACCATTTCCAAAGGTAGGAGTGTTTATTTCCATAGAATTAAGGCTGGAAAGCTTTCAGCTTTGGTCCTCATGAAGTTTTGGTCCTTTGCAGGGCTTTGTTGGTTTTCCAGCTTCCCTCTAAGCCTTTCCTGGACCCTCCCTACCCTGGCAAATCCCAGGGGTCCCAGAAGGCATCTGATGTTTTTGCTGTGTGCCAAGGGCTCAGCAAACAAAGCCCTGGTCAGTCTGCAGTGGGGGAGGCTGTGGTGGCTGCTCCTGCAGCCTGAGGGGATGGAGACCACCCCTGAGACCCCCAGGAGCCCTGCACTGTCCAGCACACCCAGCTCCCTCAGCTGCACAGGGTTTTCCTCCCACTGGGAGCAGAGCAGGCAGGAGCCCAGCCCCAGGGCAAGGCTGATCACCTTGGAAGGGCTTCCAAAGCCCAAAGGATTTCTGTTTCCTCAATGCAGTGTAAAAATGGTCACTGAGCTCCCACAGGGCACAAGGTGTGAGAGCCTCTGCCTGCTCTGAACAACCTCCAGAGCAGAAATTTAAGACACCAAGAGAACAATTTCTGATTTAAAACGTACCTTTGGCCTAAATTCATTGAGGCCATTCCTATGGTAGGAACGTACCGTGAACCTCAATGTCTCCTACTCCAAAAAACCTGAAAACCTTCCCTTGAAGGACTCTTGGGAATGTCCACTTGATGAGATGAACTGAGATTTGGCCAGCTTATGGTCAACTTTCAGGGCATTAATTCCTTTTAAATTACAGCCCAAGTCTGAAGCTGGGCCATCTTTGGACTTCTCCAGTGTAGTTAATTATTATTTTAAAAACAATCAAATCCTCAAGCTCTACTGTACAAGGATTTATATTGCACTACAACTTCAGATGTGGAAAGGAAAGTAACTGATCTCTAAAAGCTGCTACAAAACAAAACCATTAAAAAAAAAATCTTCCTAAAGGATCATCAGTGCCTTGCTGGGAAGCAAAACACATCAAAAACCCTCCTCCTTCCCATCACAACCAGCCTTGGGATTAATGCCTGACCTTCCCAAATAATGGGAAGAAACCAAAAAATAAAAACAAAAGAAATAAATAAGGTGACTTCATTACAACACCTGATGGAACTATTAATCAATCTGAGGGTTGCTCAAGGCAGAAACAGCAAAAGGTCATTTTCTGTGAGCAGCACAACCAGCAGCACCAGCTCCTCACCCTCCCCTGGGGGGGGTTCAGTCCTTGCCCACCGACACCCCCAGACCCTTCACATCTTCCCAGCTTTTTTGTTGCCAGCCATGGAAACTCGGAGGATGTTTGGGGTTTCTTCCATGACTCTGACCAGCAGGTTGTCGATGTAGTCCTCGAGCTCCCGCACCTGGAGCTCCTTCCTGCTGATGGTATCCTTCTGTTTCAGCACCAGCTGGATCAGCTCATCGTGTGTCAGCTGAGCATAGGCATAGGCAGGGTCTGAGGGATCGTATTTCTGGGGAGGGAGGGAGGGAAGGCAGGGTCAGAGCAGGCACAGCACATTCCAAACCAGACACACAGACCAGCACGGTGACAGCTGCTGCCAAACAAACCTGGTAAAGCTTAAAGCAGCTGCTTAAATGCACACTGGGAAAGCCAAATTCAGGTTAGACAGCAAGAAACACCCACCCACATTTCCTATTGCGTTGAAAAAATCTGGTTTTAACCCTCAAGCAGCATGAGAGGTACTGGGCAGCTTCTGCTGACTCCTCCAGCTCCCAAAACGCTGCCCAGGCAGGGAGTGTGAGCACAGCAGGCTCCTGTGGGGCATCTCACACGGTTCAGGTGCAATCAGAACACCACAACACCCACTGCAAGTTTTGAAGCCCTTGAAACAGCAGCGTGTCAGTCTGAGTCACTCAGCTCCCATCCTCTCCCCTCTCACCAGGAGGAGGCACTGCTGTTATTTCTGTTCTAACTTCCCTATTTCCCAAAAAAGCCCTGACAGAGCATAAGGGGACCAGTGGTTTTCCCTGCTGAGCCAGGGATGCTCCCTGCCTGCCAGGGAAGCTGTGCCTCAAGCCTGGAGGTCTCTCTTGAGGCCAGGATTATGCTGAAAGCTCCTCTCAAACCCACTGCTGACCCAACTGCATAACTGTGCTCCAAGGAAGTGGCTGTGCCTGAGAATCTCCCCCACAAAACAAGAGCCACAGCTCTATTTATAGGTCAGTCTGCAAGAAAAAAAAAGCTTTTAAGGACTGCTCCCACTCTTGGGGGCTGACCAAAAGGACGTTTATGTCCCAACTATTTGGAATACACAAACTCTTCAAATAGATTGGACAGTGAAAGTGCCACTTCCCTCCATACCTTCACACTCATTTCCAGCAGCCTATTTGGAATACACAAACTCTTCAAAGAGATCAAAGCTTGGACAGTGAAAGTGCCACTTCCCTCCATACCTTCACACTCATTTCCAGCAGCTTTTCATTCATGGTGCTGATGACATTCAGGTTCTTGCTCTGAGGCTTGTTTGCCATGGCATTCATTGGCTTCACAGGATGGAGTCTGCAAAGGAAAAAAAAAGGGTTCTGTTGTTCAGGCAGAAGAGATAACAGCAGCATGGCACAGATCTTTAGACTCAGAACAAATACAGCAAGAAATTGGGGATGATTCCCTCCCTGCTCTATCTCCTGAAAGAAAAGAGATTCAGCTTCAGGAAGACAAGGTATTTCTAAGCCACAGGGGTTTTGTAAGTATTTTCCAGTTCTCTACTATCTTCATTGACTTAAGGCATTGGAGATAAAGCAGCAGCAGGAAGGGAAATACATCCTGTGTGTGTCATGGAAGAAAAGCCAGGTCAGGCTACACGAGGAGACAGGACACAGGGCAGCTACTCTGATCCCTCAGAAACTGGTATTTCAGCCTGACTTTCCTAATCAGAACATACTTGTCATCTTACAACATACCAAATACTTCTGCTGTCCTGAGACAAGTGTTAGGCCCTGTCCAATCTGAACTGACACCACCAGCTGTGAGGAAGTGCTGTCATTATTGGCCTGCACAGGACTTACAGCACCGATTTTAACACAGGATCAAAATTTTACTTCTATTCCAGCAAACACTGGCCCAGAGGTGTCCTAGACCCCAGGCAGAGCTCTGCAGGTGAAGTCTCAAGGGCTGACAGGTCAGTGGCACCACGCCCACAGAGCAGTGGTGGTGATCCCTGAGGAGCCCACTCAGGCAGGAAATGAAGCATTTACCAGGTGTCCCTCCTCCCTGTCTGACAAACAGCTCAGCCCCAGGCCCTTGTGCCAGTGGGATGGAATGACTCCATTCCCCCTGCACTTTCCCTAAGCTCCCCTAAGAGCTGTGAGGAGCAGCTGCTCCCCTGGGCACCCTGAGGAGCTGCACAGACCCTCCTGGAGCCAGCAGCAACCCCACACTGGGTGACAGCAGCCAAGCCCTGACAAACCCAGACCCCAGAGGAAATCAGGGCTGTCCTGGCCTGATGCAGCAGCCTCAGGGACTGATCTGCACCCAGAGGGCAAAGCAAAGCTCACGCTGCACGGAGGTACCTGCTGGGATCCCCACATGTCTCACCTGTGCTTGGGAGACACGGTTTCAGCACCCCGTGGGGTTTGGTTAGGGAACGTTTCAGAGGGTGAAACCCGTGCCTGGAGAAGTTTCTTCTTGCCCGAATTTCCCGCTTTATCTGCGAAGCCCTCGGCTCTTGGCTTTTTCGGAGACTCTGCTCTACGACTCGGGGTGTCAGAGAGAAGGGAATGAGAGGAAGAGTGGGGCTGGCAAGGACTTGATAGGGAGGAAGAGAAAGCAGAAGGCTCAGAGAAGTCACACTCTGCACGCTCCTCAGCTCCTGCACTCCTTTCCAGCTCTTGTTTCTCAAAATGACTGTCACACTCCCTGGAATGAGACGTCACACCTAAGCCTGAGTCACCTCCCTGGACACAGACCCTGGGAGCACCCACTGCAGCAGGCAGCACAGCCAAGCTCCCTGGCTCACAAGCACCAGGAATGGCTCCTGCTCCTCCTCCCGGAGCAGCCGGCATCACAGGGGCTGCAGCAGAGCTATCACAGAGCTCTGGCTGCTCTCCACGCAAAGGTGTCAAACCTCGGGGCTGCTCTCCATTCCCTAGAACACCTTTGTCACCTGCAGTGGCCCCACAGCTGTCCTGGCAGTCCCCCAGCAGCTCGTCATCAGAGCCTCCCTCCGGGATCACGGGAAGACCGGCCAGTGCCGAGCCCCAGTCCCCGGGAACAGGAACTGCAGACCTGACATTTGTGAGACTGACAGACAAATCATCACCACCTTCCTTTCCTGAAGGCCTGCTCCTGCTCTTACCTCTGGGTGCCACTGCAGGGGTGACAGTCTCCAAGGAGCCCCCCTGAGGGAGGCACCCACGAGCAGCTGAGGGCTCAGGGAACGGGAGCCCTGGTGTGGATTTTACACCATCCCCTGAAGCAGGAACATCACCCCTCAGCTCAGCCTGGGGAGTGGCTGGGGATTTCCTCAGCAGCACAGCCAGTCGTGGGGCTGGCTTTGGGGGCACAAGGACCCCACTGCCGGCCCTCCCTGGATCCCCTTCCCCAGGGGACACCGTGCAGGCTCTCGGTGTTGCTGGGACTTGAGACAGTGGCTCATTTCCAGCAGGTGGAGGTGCCTGGGGCTCTAACGTGGGCACACATTCTGCCCACTGCTTTCCACCACAGGTCTCCTGCTCCTCCCTGAGCTCGCTCTCGGGGGATTGTGCCTGGTCAGCCCCTGGCACGAGGCTGTCACTGCACTTGGAGAGAGACACAAAACCTTTGTCACCCCTCGTGCAGGCCTCAGTGCTCCCACCAGTGACCTCCACAGCTGTTCCATCACTGTTCCAGGTGGGATGAGAGAGCTTTTTCGATGGGTCACCCCCTGCTCCCAGCTCACCCCCAAACCCTGCTCGCATCTGTAACCTCCCACTGGAATCCAGGGGCTGCTCTCCACCTTCCTGCCCACCCAAACCCACATCACCTGATGGAACACCCTGCCATTCCCCAAGGACAAAGGACACAGATTTCCCACGGCCTGGCTTGCTGCTTTCCAAAGACCCCTCAGGCTGAAGCTGGGCAGAATCCCAGTGTGGCTCTGGAGCCAGCCCAGAGGGGCCAGACAAGGTGCCCAGAGGGTCTGGCACAGCTGTGACATCACTGGTTAAAGCCACATCTGCAGAGCCCCCTGAAGCACCACAAGCAAGGTGTCCTGCAGAAGAACAGTCCTCCCCAACAGGAAGGCAGGAAGGGGAGGAACAATCCTGGGAACCTGGCACTGCCTGTGCCCCACGCTTGGACACGAAGGGATTGTTGGCATTGAAAGGACAGTCAGAGGGGACAGAAGGTGTGCGTGGGCCAGAGAGACCCTGGGAAGCCTCAGAGCCCTCAGGACCCTGCTCCCAGTCAGCAGCAAAAGGATTCTTGCCCCTGGCAGACACCTGCCCAGGAAGAGGCACTTTGGGAACAGAGGCTGCAGGATGATGGGATGAAGGGAAACGGGCGATGCTGTCGGGATCCAGGGCTCTGCATGCCCTGTCCCACTCAGGAGTAAAGGGGTTCTTGTCATTCCAGAGCTCTGCAGCAAAAGCAGGAGAAGTGAGAGAGGCAGGAGAACTAGTGATGTTTTCAGAGTCTGGCACTTGGACTGTCTGCCCCACTTCAGAAATAAAAGGATTATTGGCACTGCTGATACGGTGCACAGAGAGAAAAGCAGGGAGGGGGTCAGGTGCAAGAGTAGGAAGCGTGGCTTTGGGTTCCTCCTCTGGAGACAGGCCCAGTCTGCAAAAAGGGACAAAAAACTCGCATGTCACTTGCAGATGCAACACGAGGCAGGAACAGACAAGCTTTAGCACCAGCCTCCATCAGCTCTGCCACTGGAGATGAGCTATACCTTACAGAGACCTCAGAGAGAGGTCCCCTTGTCTGTGAGACTTTACATCCTTAATTTCACCTTTACCAAGCACTGGGCTTATGTCAAAACTCTCCTGCTGCAGAGCTTGGTTTTGCTGCTTTAAGCACTGCCTCTTTGCACCCCAAGCAGGTTTATTAGTATGTAAAACACTGCACAGGCAAGAAACTCAAACTTGAGAAGCACTGAAAATGAGGAGTTAGGGACAGACACAAAACACAGCCTTATTAGTAGGGCACACCTATATATATATATAATAAACCCCATACACAATTTATATATTTGTATGAAGGTTAAAGGAGCAGAATTTCCAAGAAAGCCTCATGTACAAATCCACACAAGATCCCTCTGTGCTGCTGTGAACGATGCCAAAAGCAGAAGGGCTCCAAGGCTACCCTTTGGAAGACCACAGCCAAGTAGGGAAGAGGAAAGCAGAGACGTTAGAACAGGCATTTCAGACCCTGGCGAGGCTGCAGCCACACAGCTCAGACAGAGTTAGTTTGTGCAAGAGATCCAGCAAGAAAATTCACCCCTTCAGCATCTGCACAGGTGCCTCCTGCACTAGAGAACCACCACTGCAGCATCACTTACAAGGAGCATCCCTACATCCATATTTTTTCACACTGAGGAAGAACTCTGGAGTTGTTCTTTGCTAACAAAGCCACCAACGCCAGCGTAAAACCCACAGGTACCCACAGAGCAGCACCTGAGCCCAGGTGTGGCAGACACAGCCCACTGCCACCAGCACTGCCCACCCTGACTCTGCCAGCAGCTGGGACTCACCTGGGTTTCACAGCTTTAGTCTTGGCCGGTGCAGCTTTCTCAGGTTTCTGTTCCTCCTCACAAGGGCTGAGCAGCTGCTTGGTTGTGACGGCCTCCTCTGTGTGGTGAGCATCTCCTGAGGGGCTCCTTCTGCCCACATCTGCTGGGGCCTCAGGGCATTTGGCCTCCTCTTCACTCTTCTCTTCTGGAATTTTATTTTCCTCACTCTGCAGGGTCCTGTCGGGAATAATCTCAGCATCGCTGGGCTTCACCGTTTCCTTCTTCCCAGTGACCAGGGAGAGCAAGGCAGACTTTTTGTGGTCTGGTTTTTTGGTCTCTCTAACAACCTCGACGCTTGGTGGAACGCTGGTGTCCAGGTGCTCCTCACTACTGAGCATTTTGTATGATGGCAAAGTCATGGACTTGAAGGTCTCCAAGGATGTGGACCCAGAGAATGCCTGCCCAGGAGAGGTTCTCCCCATCTCTTCAGGTGATTTAGTGGACCTAGAGAACAGGTTGTCCTCTGAAGCAAAGAGCTGCTTCCTCCTGAGGTTGTGAGGAGAGGGGGAGGAGGCTGGAGTCTTGTCCTTTGTTGTGGTCTCTTCTATATAAACGTGACTGCCATTGATGCACAGACTAGACTTGGACACGGGATCGTTTTTGGATTTAAGGCCACTGAACAAAGACAGCCCATCCTTTTTGGTGTGGTTAGTGGTGCCCTGGGTTAGCTGCCTACTGTCCAAAAAGGCTGGTTTACGAGATTTGAACAGAGGAGAAGGAGCTGGCTTCTGTTCTGGCACACTTTCAAAGGATCCTGGAAAAAAAAAAAAAAACAGGGAGAAATCGTAGATGCAAGAACAACCTTTTCTCTGACACTACTGACAGCCTCAGTGCCAGCAGGGACTTTCTATGCATTTGTTCAGAAAGGAGAATTTAACCAGTGCTGTGAAAAGTGTAAAGAACCCTTTGGAGGAAGGTTTTGTGCCAACACTCACGTTCTGAGGCAGGAGAGGTCTCGGACTCCTCCTCATCCCACTGCGCCTGGAAGTCGCTGGGCCGCAGCCGAACCCTCTGGGTGAGGGGCTGCTGAGTGGGCAGCACTGACATGGACTGGGACAAGGATGTCTTCTGCAGGCCAGGCTTGGAGAACAGCGCTTTGAACTTGGATTTCTTCTTTTCCTTCTCCACTGCCTCATCCTCACTGTCAGCAGGGGAGTGGGAGGTGCTGGGGACGATCGCAGATGCTGTGTCTGAGAGGCCACTGCTCCTCTTGCCCTTGAGCTTGTCTTTGAGCTTCCCAAAGGGAGAGCGGGGCTTGTCCTTCATGGACAGATCAAACATGCTGGCTGTCATGTTGCTCCTCATGAACTGGATGTCCACCTCGATCTCCCCTCTCTCCTTTTCCTTCTTCCCTGGTTTGGAGTGAAGCTTGTACCACCTGAAGCAACAAGGAGATTTCTTTAACCACAGGTAACTGAGAACACGGAGGGTGCTTATGGCTGAAAAATCAAATCAGCCCACAGTGTAGGAAAAGAAAGCCTTTAATCTTATGGTGACGTCACGGTCACAGCCCCAGGTGCCAAAGAAAACACTCCTTATCTTAAACAGAAAGATATTAATAAGATTTGGTTTAAAACCAGATCAGGAAGGGTTAAAAAAAAAGGAGAAAAAACAGAGGCTCAACATGGAATTCCTGTATTTCAGCTCAGCCACTCTCCTCTGCCCTTTCATCTCTCCTCCTGACACTGGCAGGGGCCACAGCTTTGAAGTGGAGCGAGAGCAGCAGCCTCAGAGCTGCACAGGCGTCCCACGCCCTCATACCTTTCATTCCAGCTCCTTAATGCCTCCTAAGCCAAGGAACCCCTAATCAACACCAGAGAGCCAACCCCAGACCTCGGGGATTTCCACTCCCCTCTCCTGCTCGTGACTGGCACACACCAGGAAGGGCATTGCTCAGCCAGAGCCTTCTCCCTCCCCAACAAGCTCTGTGTGAGCAGTGCCCAGGGCATCCCAAACCACAATCCCACCACCCACACGCCCTCAACCGCCCCTCGGTGACACTCAAGCCACATCTGAGCCAGCACAGCACACCAGTATGGTTTTGTTTGTTGATGGAACCGCAGCATTCCCGACCCCACAGGACCCATAGGAAAGGCTGGCTGGAAACTGCTTTGTTTCTTCCTCCTCACCAGCTGGAACGGGAAAATAAAGGCAGCAAACAGAGCATGCAAATGTGCCCTGCCATCAAATTTGCACTTCAACCTCCAAAGGTATACTGGAAGCAACAAAAGAGAACGGGAAAAGGTGATTTGCTCCAGAGAAAATTCAAAACTAATGGGGATAACTGAAGGAGATGGATTTGGGAACCTGCTACAGACACTTCAGAGGGAAATGAGGAAGAAATTCTTCCCTCTGAGGGTGGTGAGGCCCTGAAGAAGCTGTGCCTGTCCTGTCCCTCGAAGTGTTCAAGGGCAGGTTTGGAGCAATGGTCTAGTGGAAGCTGTCCCTGCCCAGGGCAGGGGGTGGACAAGATGGGCTTTAAGGTCCATTCTGGGATTCTGTGACTCTAAATGAACACCTGAGTGACAGTCAGGTGCTCTGGCCTGGGCTTAGAAGACACCCAGGGAAGGGCTTTTATCAGGAGACCGAGGCTTTGCCCAGTCCCTGGAGCTGCAGCAGCCTGGGAATCACAACCCCTCTGCCTCTAACACGAGCCAGCACTGGGCATTTTGTTCCAAAGCTGTGATTTCTAGGAGCATCCTGTGTTCGCAGGGCTTCGGTGCCAGAATTGATCCCGGGAGCCACGGGCAAACGCCGCGCTCAGCAAGGGCAGCTCAGCCCCAGCTGAAAGCAGCACCCCTGGGGGTGGCTGGAAGGAAATCACAGAGTGACACCCCCCAAACCACAAAAAAATCTCATTAGTGGCATTTATGGTGTTGGCAAGCACCTGTCAATCAACATCTCTCTATTTTCCAATAAAACTACTCCTTTATGGCTACACATCACCATGGCAGCAAGAACAACACAGGCTTCCAACAGGAAACCGAGGGCTGGAAACAACTGCAAACATCAGAAATTTCCCCAGGAGTAGCAAAGCTGTGCTTTCCTTTTTTCTCCCCCTCAATTTTCCTTTGCCCAGACACAAAGGAACGCGCCCGGGTGCCTGAGGCACCGGCCCTGAGCTCTGCTGACCAAGGGGCTCCGCAGTGTAAACACAGCCGAGTCTGACACAGCCTTAATGAACCCGCGGCCTAATTAAGCCTTGACAAGCGGGACGGTGCTCAGGTGAGGTAGGGGAGGAAGGTGACTCACCAGCACATTACAAGGCTGCTGACTCCCAGTAAAACCCTCCCGGGCACCACCCCTGGGTTTCACCGTGCCCGTGTTTGTGTTCAAAGCAGCGAGTGTGACACAGAGCTGGCGCTGGGCAGGAGCGGCCCCGGCTCCGAGTCAGCTCGTGGAAGGTGGAATTATCCACCCTGACACGCTTCAAGTGTCTGTTAGCAAAAATAAATAACCGGCTTGGCCCCTGCTGGAAGGAGGCAGCACTCTGAGGACATCAGGTTTCGGGGGACAGGCTGGCTGTTTGCTCTGTAGTGTCAGCACTCACACGGAAATGTTTGGAAATCAAACCCGAGGAATGGCAGGACTGGATGGAACAGCATTCTCCGGACCCCCAGCCTCTTCCAGGGGAAGGCACTCCCCAGCTCAGAGAGGGCTCAGAGGGGTCACCCCATGGGCAGTTTTGGGGCTTCAGGGGTCCCCGTGTCCCCCAAGAGTCCCCCAGCAGAACCCCGCGCTGCCCTGGGGCACAGGGTGACCAGGGACACACGGGCTCCATGGGGGCACAGGGCTCTCCCCCGTGCCCGAGGAGCACAGAGGATTCCACGAGGAACGGGGACATCATCCCACGGGGACTCCTCACAGCACTGCACCCCCTCGGAGGGCACAGAGACACCCCTCACCGTCCTCCCCAGCCCCCGGGGGTCACAGAATCCCCCTCAGACCTCCGAGGGGTCACACAATGCCCCTCAGACCTCCGAGGGGTCACACGATCCCCCTCAGACCTCCGAGGGGTCACAGAATCCCCCTCAGACCTCCGAGGGGGGCACACGATCCCCTCAGACCTCCGAGGGGTCACACAATCCCCCTCAGACCTCCGAGGGGTCACACGATCCCCCTCAGACCTCCGAGGGGTCACAGAATCCCCCTCAGACCTCCGAGGGGGGCACACGATCCCCTCAGACCTCCGAGGGGTCACACAATGCCCCTCACACCTCCGAGGGGTCACACGATCCCCCTCAGACCTCCGAGGGGTCACACGATCCCCCTCAGACCTCCGAGGGGTCACACGATCCCCCTCAGACCTCCGAGGGGTCCGCACGATCCCCCTCAGACCTCCGAGGGGGGCGCACGATCCCCCTCAGACCTCCGAGGGCCGCACAGCTCCCCTCCAAACCTCTCCGTGACCCCCGTGGGGCTGAGACCCACCCCCCAAAACCTCCTCCCCAGCCTCCTCAAGACCCGGAGGAGCCTCTCCATCCTTGTCCCCAGCTCCCGCGGCACACAGCGGCCCTCGCACCCCGGCGGCCGCGGGTGCCCATCCCTGCCCCGGAGCCCCCCGGTCGCACCTGGTGTGCCGCCGGCCGCCGTCGTCCCTCAGCGCGGCCAGCTCCACCTCGGCGCGGCCCAGGAACTTGTCGGCGCCGGCCAGGGCGCGGTGCAGCACCGTGAGGCGCAGGGCGGCGGGCCGCGCCGGCAGCTCGAACGTGGCCTCCTCCCGCCACAGCGGCTCGCCCCGGCACCGCTCGGCCACCGACGTGCGGAACTTGTCGCGGCCCAGCGCCATCACCGCGTACGCGTCGCTGCCGCCCGCCGCCGCCTTGGCGCGCAGCCCCCGAGCCCGCAGCACCGTCACCCGCACGTGGGTGGGCGCCCAGCCCGGGGCCGCGCCCGCCATGGCTGCGAGGGAGCGAGCGGCGGGGCCGGCGACGGGCCGCGAATGAGCCGGGACGGGCCCGGAGCGGCGGCGGCGGCCGGTGAGTCCCGCCCCGCCCCTCTCGCGAGAGCGCGGGGAGGGCGGGGCCTGAGGGGGCGGGGCCTGGGTGTACAGGTGAGCACAGGTGTGTACAGGTGTTTATACATGGGGGGGTGTACAGGTGTGTGTACAGGTGAGTACAGGTGAATGTGTACAGGTGGCTGTACAGGTGTGTGTGTACAGGAGAGTACAGGTGAATGTGTACAGGTGGCTGTACAGGTGTGTGTGTACAGGAGAGTACAGGTGAATGTGTACAGGTGGCTGTACAGGTGTGTGTGTACAGGAGAGTACAGGTGAATGTGTACAGGTGGCTGTACAGGTGTGTGTGTACAGGAGAGTACAGGTGAATGTGTACAGGTGGCTGTACAGGTGTGTGTGTACAGGAGAGTACAGGTGAATGTGTACAGGTGGCTGTACAGGTGTGTGTGTACAGGAGAGTACAGGTGAATGTGTACAGGTGGCTGTACAGGTGTGTGTGTACAGGAGAGTACAGGTGAATGTGTACAGGTGGCTGTACAGGTGTGTGTGTACAGGAGAGTACAGGTGAATGTGTACAGGTGGCTGTACAGGTGTGTGTGTACAGGAGAGTACAGGTGAATGTGTACAGGTGGCTGTACAGGTGTGTGTGTACAGGTGTGTACAGATGAGTACAGGTGAGTACAGGTGTGTGTGTGTACAGGTGTTTATGCATGGGTACGTGTGTACAGGTGAGCGTACAGGTTCGTGTTTACAGGTAAGTACAGTTGAGTACAGGTGAGTGTGTACAGGTGAATGTGCACATGTGGCTGTACAGGTGTGTGTGTACAGGTGTGTACAGGTGTCTACAGGTGTATGTGTACAGGTGTGTGTGTGTACAGGTGAGTGAGTCCAGGTGTGTGCCCATCCCTACAGGAACACCCTGCAGCATCCCGGGTGCGGCTCCTGTGCCGGGGCCGGGATTGATTTCCGTGGCACCGGGAGGTGGCACGGGCAGCTCCGCCCGCCCTCCCGGGGTGCGGCAGCACGGGCAGCGCTCGGGGCCAGCACCGCGCCATGCCCAGCGCGGTTTCCCCTGCCAGCCACGGCCCCAGGACGGGGATGGACCCCCCGAACCTCAGGCAGCCCCCCGGGAGCAGCACCCGCTGCTCGGGACAGACCTGGAGGCACCGCAGGGATCCAGAGGTTTATTTCACGCGGCAGGGGGGACACAAACCGGGACAAACACTGTGCAGACACTGACCATGCTGACAGCAGCGTGGGCAGGGCATCTCTGTGAGATGAGAATCCACCTCCCGTCCCCCAGGGACATCTGTCCCAAAGGAGAGGGAGAAACTGCCGAGAGAGCCGAGGCGATCCCAGTTCGCTGCCTTTGGAAGCGCTCCGTGCTCGGAGCTCTCCTCGTTCATTCCCCTGAGCTTTTCCTTTGCTGAAGGCATCGCTGCAGCTCCTGGATTGCGCTCGGCCCTGGAATGCAGCAGCTGGGGCAGGGATGGAAATCCTGGGAAGGGCTCGAGCCTGCAGGAGGCTCTTCTCTCCTTCTCAGCAGACTGTCCGAAACTGGCCAAGCCTGGGACAATAGGGTCCTTTGTCCTTCAAGAAAGCAGAGCTGGCAGTCTCCACATCCCGCTGCCAGCCGTGCCAGGAACACCCCAGACGGGAGTTTGTCCCCTGTCCACACATCCCTGAGGCTGTGCTGCCCCTTGGTGAGCAGCTCCAGAGCTTCTCCCCAGCTCCAGGTCTCCAGCACGAAAGAGCTGGTGCTGTCCCAAGACCACCAGCGTTCCCAGGGAGATCCTCCTCCTCTCCGGGTCGGTGCAGGCACCGCAGGCTCCTGCCAGCACCGTCACCCCTGGCGCTGCTTCTGCAACCCCGGCCCTGCAAGGAGAGGGTGGGAGGTGACACAGTGCCACCCACCAGGCTCGGCTGGGGACAGGGACCCACAGCCGCCACCCCAGCGGGCGCAGGAGGGATCCGGGAGCGGTGAGCAGCTCCAGCGAGCCGGCCAGGCAGCAGCACGAGGAGGGTTAAGGCGGCTGTGGCCGGGCTGATCCGGACTCACGTGCCCGAAGCCGGGCAGCAGCCTGGGGCTGGCCACGGGCTGTGGTCCCCGGGGAGCGCGGCGGCCAAGGCGGGCAGAGGAGAGGCCGGAGCAGCGATGACCCGGCCGGGGAAGCGCTCTCCTCCCAGCTCTCGGCTGTTCCCAGTCAGTCGGATGGACCCGCGGGTGTTTCTCCGCCAGCAAACCTGAAATGAGGGAGAGCAGGGGGTGAGAGCCCAGAGCCTCCCACCACGCAGCGCCCAGCATGGGTGAATCCTGCCCAGGGAACTCCTCCAGCACCTCTACCTGCACATCCTGGCAGGAAACCTCTCCTGCCCTCAGGCATCAGGAGAGAAACACGGTTAAAAGGCACAGTAACCAGAAGAACTCCAATTTTGTCATACTAATAAAAAACCCCACCCTGTAACTGCAGGTGTAAATCCGTCTCAGGGTGCAGGCAGGGCAGAGCCACAGCATGGGCATCCCTGCCACCCCTGCCAGCCCCCAGCAGCACTGCCAGCCCCCAGCATCCCTGCCAGCCCCTGCCAGCCCCCAGCAGCTCTGGCAGCCCCCTGCTCTGTGAGGGCTGCCGGCTCTGGGAGCGCATTTCCCGTCATGGGACTGAGCGGGATGAAATTAATTCCCTTCCCAGATTTACACCGCTGGAGGGCAAAGCAAAAGCAACCTGCAGAGCCCAGCGTGGCGACGGCAGCCGCCGTGCCTCGCTGGGAAGGGGTCCCCGCGTTTTCCTTCTTTAGCAGCAGAAATTGGGATCGGGAGGAGAAGGGGGAAATGCCAGCTTTTGGGACACATTCCTGCTCAGCTGGTTTGCTCCCGTGTTTCCTTTACCCAGGAACAGCAGACCAGGTCCTGGCAGGCTGGAGTGGGACTGGTTGGGACCCCAATTTTGCAGCCCAGTGGAGGGACCAGAGTTTTAGGGGAACATCAGGGAGCAGGGCAGTGGTGCCCAGACCCACATCCCAGAGCCTCACCCACGTACCCCGGGGTCTGCCTGCTCCCCCAGCTCTGCACCGCGCTGTCACAGCACAGTCCCAGCACCGACAGCCTCCCCAGTCAGCCCCCAAAGGGCTGAACCGGACGCCCCGAGCCCCTCCCGAGCAAATGCCTGCAGGTACCTACTCATGCAGCTGGGAACACAGCGAGGTCTGCGCGCCCTGCAGCCGGGACTCGCCCAGGGGCCGCTGCCGGTGGCCACTGCCCGTGGGCAGGGCTGTCTCCTCTGCTCTGCTGCCACTGCCCCGAGCCTCGCCGTCCTCCCCGGGGCGCCCGGGGGCCGCCTTGCTGTCCCTTGCGGGGTCCCCCCGAGGGCTGAAGGCACAGGGGCAGCGCTGCAGGTCCTGTGAGACGGCGTGGAGCCGGCGGTCGGCGCGGCGCGGGCAGCACAGCAGCTTGCGGAAGGCGCTCCTGAAGTCGGGGCTGCGGCAGTAGATGATGGGGTTGAAGGCCGAGTTGATGTAGCCCAGCCAGTTGAGGAAAAGAAAGAGCTGGTCCGGCACCAGCGAGCGGCAGAAGACCTTGATGATGTTGGCCACAAAGAAGGGCAGCCAGCAGAGCGTGAAGACGCCCATGATGATGCCCAGCGTTTTGAGCGCTTTGTGCTCCTTGATGGCCAGCAGGCGGGAGGGCCGCCTGCGCCGGCTGCTCCTGCCCGCGGGGCTGGGGGGCTCCTGCAGGAACCTCACCTTGTCCTTGCCGATGAGCTGGACGTGCCGCGTGGCCACGGCAAAAACCCGCACGTAGACGAAGATCATGACGAGCAGGGGCACGTAGAAAGAGATGGTGGAGGAGATGATGGCGTAGGTCACGTTGGTGACGAAGTCGCAGCAGCGGGGGTCGTCGTAGCAGCGCGCCGCTCGCTCGTCCGCCCCGTCCCGCCACCAGTGGTTCATGATGGGCAGGAAGGAGATGAAGGCAGAGATGGCCCACACCAGGCACACCACGGCCCGGGCCCGGCCCTTGGTCACCAGCGCCTCGTACTGCAGGGGGGAGGTGATGGCCAGGTAGCGATCCACGGCGATGGCACACAGCGTCTCGATGCTGGCCGTCACACACAGCACGTCCAGCGAGGTCCACAGCTCGCACACCGTCGTGCCGTAGGGCCAGTGGCCGCTCAGCAGGATGGTGGCCCCCGGCGGCACCACCAGCAAGCCCATGATGAGGTCGGCGCACGCCAGCGAGGTGATGAAGACGTTGGTCATGGTCTGCAGCCGCGGCGTCTTGGCGATGGCCACAATCACCAGCAAGTTACCGGCCACGGTGACCAGGACGGTGAGGCTGATGGCGGTCCCCAGCACCCACTGCCGGCCCAGGCTGCCGGCCCCGCTGCAGTTACCGGAGCCCCCCCAGGCGCTGCCGTTGCCGGCGGGGAGGGGGCTCATCTCGGCCGGGCTGGGGGCACCGGCCCCGCGCCCCGCCGTGCGCTCCCCGCCGCGCTCCCGGCGCAGCCCTCGGGCCGGACCGGCGGGGCCGGGTCCCCTCCGCGCCGGAGGAGGAGCCTTTAAAGGCGCGGGGCGGCCCCGGGCTGCTCGCTCCGGAGGGCGAGGGAATGGGAGCGAGCGGCGGCACCTCCTCCCCCCGGACGCGCTGCCCAGGCCCGCCCCGCTCCCCCCCGGCATCCCCGCCGGACATCTCAGCCCCTCGCCGTGCTCTCCCGCCCTTCCCCGTGCTCTCCATCCCATCCCTGTGCCCTCTGAGTCCCCAGTGCCACACGTCTGTCCCTGTTCTCCACGCACCCCACACCATCCCGTTCCTGTCCTTCCCCATGAGCCCTCAGCCCTCTGTGCTGCCCTCACCATGCCCTGCCCCACGTGCCCCTCTCCGTGCACCCCTCGCTGTGCTCAGACTCTCCCCGGGCAGGACAGACTGTCCCTGGTGGGGACAGTGACACCCCTGTCATCCCCCACCCCGACATCAGCACAGGGCTGGCAAGGTGACAGCCCAGGTGACACTCAGAGCCACAATCATCACTTCACTCCCACCATTATTGCCTGAGCCTCCTTCCCAGTGGATGGAGGAGACCTTTCTTGCTCCCCTTCCTGAATTTGGGTGGGTGCTGGTGTTTGGAGACCCCCACCCACACTTCCTGCCCCGCTCACTTGGCACTGGAGAACCACCCAAACTCTGGGAGGCTCCACAGCCCCAGCACAGTTCCCAGGGCCCCTGGGCAGACTCCAGAGTGGATCATCTTTCCCTATCAGTTATTTATACAAATACTGGAACTTCTAAGACAGGCGGTCTCCAAATGCGGCAGTTTGAAATCTCAGCCAAATGGGGGAATGTTGACAAAGACGGAAAAAATATGTGTAAAAACGATCTGGTTGGCATTTCTTCCCATTCATGAGCTACGAAAGCAGAGTCCTGGTTTTACGAGCTTCATCTTTACAAGGCTGTTTTGGATTTTTAGAGCCCTCAGCCAAGGGCTTGATCAATCTCACTCAGCTCCCAGCCCTGGGCTTTGCTGCTGGCTGGGAGCGAGCTGGAAATTGCTGTTCACAGGGCACTTTGTGCTGGCCCAGAACGGCCCCTGGCACACACACAGCCGGCAGGGAGGCTGTCGTGTGTGGCTGCACAGCTGCTCCAGGGGACACTGGCACTCAGGGCTGGCTTTGGGTCTCAAAGCAAAGCAGGAGCACCCGTGGGATTGTCCCTGGTGATGAGGGCTGTGGGGAGTCACCAAGGGCCAGCCATGGGGCAGGATGTCCAGCTCTGCCACCCCCCTGGAGTGACCAGGGGCTGCTGGCTTCCCACCCCTCCCTAGGCTTTCCATCCTCTGCTTCCCATCCTCACCTCCTCTTCCATCCCTGCCTCCATTTCCCTGGCAGCCCCAGCTGCCCTGCAGGGCTGGGCTCTGTGCTGCCAGACTCATCCCTGGGCATCTTACAGCCTGTTTTCCTGGCAATCCCTATGGCATTTCCTGGCCTTCCTCACCCTGCCGTGCCCAGCAGGGAGCTCCCCCTGCGCTCCCAGCCACGGACAGACACACTGCCCACAGCAGGACAGACAGCCAGGCGCTCCCGAGGGGCCAAGCAGGCATCCAGCCCCGGTCCTGACGGCTTCTCTCTGGAGCTCAGAGCAGGGCCAGCCCCCGACAGGAGGGCTCGATGCCCTGCCCCGCTCCCGGGGACCGGGCGGGGCTGGGGAGGGGAAGGCAGAGCCCCAGGCTTTCCTCCCCGCCGGGGAAGTAACGTGGCTCCATATCTTTGTCCCACTTTTACAGCTGGAAAAGCTGAAGCACAGAGGTGCTGGGTCTTACCCAGCCCTCACTCCCATCCCTGCTGCTCCAGAACTTTGATCCAAGCCCCCACAGGGATGGAGGCTGTCCAGCCTGGGGCTGGCACCAGGGGAAGCACCCTGTTCCCTTTCCCATCCCTGCCACCCTCCAGGACCTTTGGCTTGGCTCTACCTGCACGGACACTGGCAGTGGGGAGGCAGAGCCAGCCTGGCAAAACGCCACAGGAAGCCAACGGGTCAAGGGTTGTTTAGAAAACTCTGGGAAAATATGTTTATACCATGGATCAGAGCAGCTCCTTTGGCTGTTGCTGCAGAATAAACAATGGGTATTTAAAAATACATTTTACACACAGAGAATCTGAATCAATTAGGGGAGATCCCTGCTTGGGGAGGGCTGGGATGAAGGGAGCAGACTTCTCCTTGCTGGGCAGCACATGGAGTTCCTGGTGCCCACGGATGTGTTTGGAGAGAGGAAACAGATGCCTGAGCTGATCCCAGACACATCTGAGGGCACACGGGCTCTGCTTGGTCCCAGAGAGTGAGGGGTGAGAGCTCAAGTAGCAGCTATGGATAAAACAAAAGCTTTTTATAGCTGAGAACTCGCTCCCTCCCTGGCATGTGGCTGCATACTGGCTGGTACAGGACAGGAGATAAACCCATCACACGCTGGAGTCACAGTGCTGCCACTGCTCGTGGCCACACCAACTGTGGGGACACCAGAGTCCCCCTCTCCCCTCTGCCTCAGCCTCCTCAGCCTCCCAAAGCAGCACAGGGTCCAAAACCAGCCCCAGTGCAGCAGGGAATGGCACCAAAGTGCCACACTCAAGGGTTTTCACCTGCCCATCCCAAGGGAGGACAGCACAGGACATGGATGAGGGCCATGGGATGCTCTGCCTGAGGAGGTGCCAAGGAGCACCACTTTACCCAAATTCCCCTCCCAGGGTGGCAGCTCTGGGCTCGCTGGGGTGGGCACAGGGCCAGGCTGGGCTTTGGGAATGGGTCTGCCCCAGCTGTGTCCCCACAGAAGTGACAGACTCCCCTGGACTTGCAGAATGCTTTCCATATCAGATCCACAAATCTTGCTTTGAAGTTGTTTGGGATTCTCTGTCACCACATTTCCTTGTCAGCACATAAACAGGCTGTGATGAAGCTTTAACCCCTGGGTACTGCCTGTCCCAGGAAGCCTGCAGGAAGCTCCACATAAACTCAGGCCCTCATATAAACCCTCCTCCCCTGGCAAAGGCGGGCACGGCTCTGGGAGCTGCAGCAGTCAGCCAGGGCTTGTGCAGGAAGGGAAAAACCTCTGTGTCAGAATAATAAAAAATGATAAAAATATGCTGTTTCATGGGCACGCTCAATATCCCGAGGCAAATATCCCACAGACAGTGTGTACCCCACATTTGCAGGGCTCAGGCAGGGTCTGTGCTGTGTATCTGTGCATCTTCAGACCCTGTTGTACATCTGGAGCTCCCCTGAGCCGGCTGCTGCCCCAGCACAGCTCCCCCATCACCCAGTGGCACGATCCCTGTGCCCCCCCCCGGCTCTGCCACCCCAACCCGGGCTGAGCCGGGCATCCCAGGGGCTCCGAGCTCCCACGTCTCCAACACGCACATCCTGTTTTCCAGGCGAAGCTCCTGGGAGATCCTGCCTCGATGGTGATGAAAGAGGCACCCGGAGGTCGGAGCCGGCCCAGCCGGGGCTGAGGTCGCTCTCTGCCTGTTTGTCCAGCGTGGTTTGCCCCACGGACACACAGCTCGGAAGGAGGAAGGAGCCGTGCTGCCCTTCAGGGGCCGGGCAGGGCTGCTGGGATCCCCCTCCTCGCCTGGAGCACCCCGGGGTGAACAGCTGGGGGTGAGGGGTGGGAAACCTGCGATGGAGAATGCGGCTCGGGCGTGGCTTCAGAGGGCAGCAGAGGAAGGCACGGGTCTGCCCCGGGGCCATCCTGACCTGCCCTGCCCGGAGCAGGCAGCCTGAGAGCAGGCACAGCCCCGCAGCTCTTCCCGAGCCACGGCAGCACCGGGAGAATGAGGGAAAGGGGCACCGAGGTCCTGAAAGCCAGCCAGTGGCAAAGGCTGCGCTAAGGCAACGGCAGGTCCCGCTCCTGCCCCCCAGATCCCTGAACAATTACGGTTTCGAATTTAAAAAGAAATCACAGTAAAGCTGTTTTCTTTCCTGCGTTGCTGAGAGAAAAGCCTGCGGCAGCAGCAGGGCAGTGCCTGCAGCAGTTATTCCCAATTTCTGACATTTTTATCAAACCTTGCAGCTTCCATTTCTGACAGCTCCCATCTCCCTCCAGCTGCCGGAGAAGGGACAGTCCTCATGCTGCCATCAGGACCACAAAGGCTTGACAGATGTTTTCGCAGCTCCTTTCCTGTTGTTTCTGGTTTTCTTTCAGCTGTTGCTAAAGCAAACTGGGCTGGGGGAAGGAGGGAGAAGTTTGCAATAACACGGGTGCAGATTTCACAAAAAAATGTGGGAAGTATCATGAAAAAACAACAGAAATGACCTCAGAGAGAGCTGAGCTTTCAGGCAGGGCTTTCCCAGGGAGAGAGGAGCATCCATGCGGCATTCCCAGCTCCCCCAAGGCAGGGTGGGCGGGAGAGGGTCCAGCCCCGCTCGGGGGAAGCTGGCAGGGATGAGGGAGCGAGGGCCAGCAGCCCCACGTGGAGCTGCCTGCCAGCCCAGCCACACCACGGGACACTGGCCAAGCTGCCAGTGACCACCCAGACCTCCCCCTGCCCCTCCTCTGCCCCTGCATGCCAGGCACCCTGTGCCAAAGCTGTGCCCAGCAGCGCCCATCCCTGCTCCCCAGCCCCCACGTCCCCTCCTGGGGCTGGCACCAGGCTGTGCTCCAAAGAGAGCTGAGCTTTCACAGGGAGAGAGGAGCATCCATGTGGCATTCCCAGCTCCCCCAAGGCAGGGTGGGCGGGAGAGGGTCCAGCCCCGCTTGGGGGAAGCTGGCAGGGATGAGGGAACGAGGGCCAGCAGCCCCACGTGGAGCTGCCTGCCAGCCCAGCCACACCACGGGACACTGGCCAAGCTGCCAGTGACCACCCAGACCTCCCCCTGCCCCTCCTCTGCCCCTGCATGCCAGGCACCCTGTGCCAAAGCTGTGCCCAGCAGCGCCCATCCCTGCTCCCCAGCCCCC